CTCTTTCATACCATGTACTTAAAAATGAAACTTTTAAGTAATCTATTAACTAATACTTTCAATGTTCTGATTTATGGCCATGGGATTATCAGGATGTCTTCCCAATACCACAACAGGGAGAAGAAAAACAAATATTTTATGGTGGTCTTTCATGAGACTAGTCAGGGATTAATATTGAAAGCATCTTAGAATACCTTTAGAGGAATTTCCTAATTTTCAAGTGACATTTTATCAGAACTTCTAGACATAGGAATCTAAATTCACCTTATATTCTGCATGGGTTTTTAAGTTTCGTTTGTTACAGAAATCGATTTGAGTGTGCTTTGCATTTCGTCTTTTATCTCATTATGCATCACCAAGTCAAGGTAAAAAAGTGAGTACTGTATTTATTACCTGTAAGAACATTTGTCATCCTTTTTTCAAAGTCTGACTTGAAAGAACATTTGTTATCCTTCTTTCAAAGTCTTTGCATCTCCAAAGACACAAAGTAAAGTACATACAATGAGGACAGCATCAAGCTATTATTGCTCAATTACTACCTTACTGATTGTTAGGCACATTGAACAAAGCCACATCTGTTAGTGCAAATGGAACCCTATATTTTAAACTGTATTACTGTGTCATATGACAAGATGTTTGTAGTTCTTCAAAGCTGCAGAAATAGACTACTTCAGTTAGGAGTAGACACACCCTGCCCTAAGAGCCCCATTGAAATGTGAAATCTTGCCGTTGCTGCTTACTAAGCAAGAAGACTATGCCTACTATTGCTTTTAAAAGCCAAGTTACTTTCTGTGGTCCACCTATAAAAGAACTAACAGATTTATAGCCATATAACAGCAATAGTGACTGATTGTGAAAACTAGTTTCACTCTGCTGTGTGCATAATCAAATGCCTTTGCTTTAGTTTTTAAAGCAGAAATTCTCAAATTGTATCGTTTGACCAACTGGCCAAGTATTTTCTGACTGCAGTACTGGGGCCTATACTAGATTTATTTATTGCATCCTGTCATTATTTTTACAAATAAGGCAGCAAAGCATGTCAACATTCCTCCTCCCATTTTCTCCACGGCCATCCCCCTGTGAAGCGAGTTAGCTGAGAGAGAGGGACTGGCCCAAAGTCATCCAGTTGGCTTTCATGGCTAAGACGGTATTTGAACTCACGATCTCTTGCCTTTTAGTTTGATGCCTTAGCCCAGTGATGGCGAACCTTTTAGAGACCGAATGCCCAAACTGCAAACCAAAACCCACTAGTCATAATAAGCCATAGACCACTTATTTATTGCTGGGTGCCGGGTGGGCGTGGCTGTGGTGGTCCTGGCAGACTAGGTGGGTATGGCCAAGGTGGGTGTGGTCACCTCAATGTTGCTCGTGGGGAGGGACACCTGTGGGGGCCGGGCAGGGTTGGGGGAGATCCAGGGGGTCTCCGGCAGGTGGGGCAGTGGGCAGGAGGCTCGTCCTGCAGGGTGAGGCGAGGCAGGGCAGGGGTGCAGGGCAAGGTGAGGCAGGGGCCGGGGCGGCTGCTGCCTGACACCATCGGCCCCCATACACAGAGGCCAGCAAGCACATGGGGGCTGAAAGTGCCCATCAGCAGTCACAGGCTGACGGCCGCTCGACTGGCACACTCTGGGGCTCCCCAGCCCGCTGCCAGCAATTCAGAGGTTTCTGAGCTGGATAGGCAGACGACAGCTGAGGAGGCGATGCAGTGGGTCGTGCCCGGGGAAAGGAGAGCATGCGAGGCCAGGAGGGATGGGGGGGGAGGGAAACCAGCCGTGCTGGGATGCATCCAGCCACGTGGGACCTCGGCGAGTTAGTGGGCAAATGGTTGGAGAGGGATGGTTGCCATCTTCGGGGCATGGCGCGCATGCCCACAGAGAGGGCTCTGAATGCTGCCTCTGGCACGCGTGCCATAGGTTCGCCACCACTGCCTTAGCCACTAGACCAAACTAGCTCTTTTTATTTATATATTTTTATGCCTAACATGCATATAGCCCAGGTTCGAATCTCAGAAGAGTAAGTCTGGCTGAAGAGAGTTAGGAAACTTGAAATAGCTATCCCATTTCCCACTTTATTCTTTGTTAGCAACCTATATACATACATACATACATACATATATAAAGGAACTCTCCTCTTAAATGCATGGGCTGAATCTTCTTCCATTCTCTCATGAATTTATAACAAGCCTATGAGATAATTAAACTGGTAACTATAGCAATCTTACACAGATCTGAAACACACTTCCTTTAGATGGAGGTTATGAAGGCTGAACAGGAGTTTGTGACACTTCTGAGTGATCTCAGAAAGATACTGAAATTAGACACTCACCTACTCTCTTATGCACATAATTGCCACTGCCAAGACTGAAGGAATATGACAATTTGCATTAAGGAAAGCCTGGTGCAGCCCCCAAGCCACAGAGAAAGCAAAAAGGAATTGACTGTGCTTCAGAGCACCCTGAACAAATCCGATGCTTTCAAGTGTTTGCAAAAACAACAAATCTTTATTAGTCATAGACCAGCATATTTATTTATATTTCATATGTCTTAACCGCCCATCTCTCTCTGATTAACACTTTTTAATAAGTAAAATTAGCACCCAACGGTATCAATTACTGTTATTGGCCATTTGCGGGTGGTGTTCATATATATGTAAAATGTCACGACATGTTGCTACATTTAAAGAGATATTTTTGATAAAAGTATCAGACAATGTAAATAGAAATTACCGAAATATTCCTGGAAACTTAGCTAAAAAGGGGGAAACCAGTTGGTAAGAATCCCTACAAAACTGACAATAAAAAGGAATATGAACCATGGCTGCAATCACACTTATGGAAGGAACACTAACACGTTTCAAAACGAATTTTTCTTATATCTCCCTTCTAAAACAGCTATAGCAGGGGGTCTTCAAACCTGGCCCTTTTATGACTTGTGGACCAACTCCCAGAATTCCTCAGCCAGCATGCCTGGCTGAGGAATTCTAGGAGTTGAAGTCCACAAGTCATAAAGGGCCAAGTTTGAAGACCCCTATAGAGAGAGAATTAAAAGGGCAGAAGTTAAAAGCTGTCCTGAATGTAGAGCTCTACCTTTTGTATGGGTCTGAAGTTTGGTTTGGGAGCTAAAATTCTCTTATTTGTAACTATATAGAGGAGAGCAGGTTCTACCTGACCTTCATGTATCTCTCTATATCTATCTATCCATCCATATAGACATATTGATACATATACATCATCAAATGATGGCAGTGAAAGGATGCTCAGGTGCATCAGAAAGGGAAACAATGTACACCAAACCATTAGTATTTTAATAAAAACTTACAAACCTGCCACCAGAAAGTCTGAATGCATAAAACTCACAAACTGAGGGGGGCACTAAGGCTTCAACAAGTATAGATTGCAGGAAGATGGGACAAACTAAACAAACTAAAGAGTTGGTGATAAGATGGGCAGATAGATAGATGATAAACAGACATACAGATACAGAATAGAGATAGAATTACAGATGATAGATAATACAGATGAGATAAATAGATGATAGACAGACACTAGATAGATGAGATAGATGATAGATACACAATAGATACATAATAAGATGATGCATAAGATGATAGACAATGGGTGGATGGATGGATGATAGACTAGATATAGATATAGATGATAGGTGATAGAGATAGGTGGATAGATGAATAGATGGATTGATGGAGATTGATGGAGAGAGGGAGAAATGGAGAGATAGATGATAGACAGATAGATTGAGGTAGACAGATATGATAGACGAAATAGGGAGAGAGACAAACATGATAGACAAGAGAGGTATAGATAGATAGATAGATAGATAGATAGATAGATAGATAGATAGATAGATAGATAGATATAGACAGAGTTATATGGATAGGTAGGTAGGTAGGTAGGTAGATGGATATAGGCAGGTAGGTAGGTAGGTAGATGGATATAGACAGGTATATGGAGATAGATATAGATAGATATGCACAGATATGGAGATAGATAGATAGATAATAGATAGATAGATAATAGATAGATAGATAGATAGATAGATAGATAGATAGATAGATAGATAGATAGATAGATAGACGGACAGAGTTATATGGATAGATAGGTAGGTAGGTAGATGGATGGATATAGACAGTTATATGGAGATAGATATAGATAGATAATAGACAATTATATGGAGATATAAATAGATAGATATGCACAGTTATATGGATAGAGAGAGAGAGAGAGAGTTATATGGAGATAGATATAGGTAGTTAGGTAGATAGGTAGATGGATGGATATAGACAGTTATATGGAGATAGATATAGATTATAGACAGTTATATGGAGATATAGATAGATATGCAGTTATATGGATAGATAGATAGATAGATAGATAGATAGATAGATAGATAGATAGATAGATAGAGATATAAGAGATAGACGAGATAGATGATAGAGAGGTAGACTAGATATAAATAATAGACAGACAGACACAGACAACCAGCCCAGCAGAACCTCCGGCTTCCCCAGCTCAGTTTTTAGCCCCGGCTCAGACCCCCGAGACCTGGAGGCCTCCCTTCCTTCTCGCCCCCTCCCCCAAACCAACGCCCCTCTTTCCCCCACCAAACCCGGCTCTCCCCCCTCCCACAGCCCCTTCCAAAGCTCGCGAACGGCCCAGCCCCAACCGAGCCCCCCCCCCCAGCCTGAGCCCCCCACTCCCCCACAGGGCCCCGCGGCTCCAGTGACCCCTCCCCAGGACGGCCCCCGCCCAGCCACCGCCTTCCCCTCGCGTCGCCTGAAGCGGCTCTCAGCGCCCTCCCCGCCACAACACCCCCGCGAGGTAGGCCACCCCCGGAGCGTCGGCGGAGGAAGCGGGGGAGGGGGGGCAAACGGGCCCTCCCGCCCACCGCCTGCTCCCCAGGCCCGTCTCCCCCCGCGGCCCAGCCTCTCCCCTCAAGCCGCGCTCCCGACCGGGGCCAAGACGCGGAGGACGCCGAGGGGGCGGTTACCTCGGCCCGCCGTAAACATCGGTTCCAGCTTCTGCAGCTCCAGCCTCCGTCAGGCTCTTCTCTCCCCCCTCACTTTCTGCCAGGGCGAGGACCCCGCCCCCCAGGCTGCCCCGCGGGATGCCTGATCCTATCCCGCCTGCTCCAGCCCCCGCCTCGAGCCTTCTCCCTCCAGAGGGAAAGAGATCAGGAAAGAGTAGCGTGCAGCACTCGGCTAGAAGGAACCGGAGCCTCCCGCGTGGCGGACGGGCGGGACCGAGGCCTCAAGCCGTCAGGCAGTGTCGTAGACAGCCCTCGCTCTCCCGGGTCCTGAAGGCGGAGAGAGAGCTGGGCAACCCCGTGCTTTGGTTACCAGGGGAGGCGGAAGTGGCCGAGGGGGTGTGGCTTTCTTCTGGAAGTGGGCGGAGCGCAGTCTCCAAGCTGCAGCTTTTGAAAGCCATTTCTTTCGAATTTGCTGCCCGTCTGGGAATAATATTAGAAAGGGGGAAAAAAGTTGTTGGAATTGAATCCCTGCTCAATTCTTGCAGAGAGGGAGAAAGGAATGCAAAATATTCACCCTTAATGCTTAATTATGCCTGTGAAAGCAATCTTTAAAACAAAATTTACCCCCAACCCTAATTAGAGATTCAAACAACATGCATATTTAGTATTTAACTAACATTAACACTTAACTAACATTAAACTGGCGTTTAAAAGTTTATCTATCTAAATATCTATCTAATAATTTTATTAGATTTTCCCAATTAGTTCTTTGCACTGTTCCAAAACCATTTATGCCAATCAACGAATGAATGAGCTGACTGGTTGCAAACCAAAGTTTATATCTTCAGAGATTTCAATAGACTTAGAGAAATCGACTACTTCTGGATAAGGACCAGGCAATATATATTGTAGTTTCTTCCCTATCTTGGTTTTAATGAAACCCAATTGGAATTGTGCTTAAGCATATATTTTTTTATTGCTGAAAGAAAACCTTTGAAACATGTGGCTGGTACATCTGTAATGTAAACAATGAAAAAAGAAATGAGAAATGTTGATGTTATTAAGGGTAAGATATAGTATTGTTGTAGTTACAACATAAACACTTACTTGTCTCGGAGGGCAACTGGCTTGTAATTCTGATATAGTCTACTTTTTTGACAGGTCTCTACTTCTAATGTTTATTTTATTTACTTGAATTTAAAAACCACCCAATCCCAATGGATTCTGGATGGTGTACAAAACTAGAAAATAGAAGGTTTAAAAAACACCCAAATGCACAACCTACACTGCAATAATCTTGCAAAGAACAAAAACAAGTGTGAGCCCATAGACAAACAATAATACACCCACATCTGGAACCAAAACCAGATTTCAGAGCTTGAGAGATATTTAACTGTTTGGGGCTGGAGTATTTTTTCCAGAAACTGGAAAACCTGATGTGCAAAACCCCCTGGGAGCATTGCCTTAAAACTCTTAATTAAATGAAATATTTTGTCAGTTAGGGGGCTCAGCTGTTTATAGTGTTCAATTTGAGGAGCAAAGCAGTGGTCTCACTGTCATTTGCAATCCTTGCTCTATAGTAATCCTATCACAAATGCAAACTAAAGCATGTATTAATTTGGGGCATGAAGAAAATAATGAAAGGTGTTTTGTTTTTTTTAATTAACTGTGCTCTGTTAAGCCTGGTTTGGTTTTTCTGAGGCTCAATCTACAGTCTTAATTTGGCTACTGTGGTAAAGTCACCACCTGAATCTTGTTGTTGTTGTTAGTTGCAAAGTCTTGTCCTACCCATCGCAACCCCATGGACAACGTTCCTCCAGGTCTTCCTGTCCTCTACTATTTTCTGGAGTCCATTTAAGCTCATGCCTGAATCTTGATTTAATGGTAAATACGTAAAACTACAAGCCTCATCCACACAGCGCTCTTAAGTTATAAAGGTTTGGCATCTTAACTCTTTTGACAGATCAGTTAAACAAACTATGACATAACATAGTAGTAGTAGTAGTAGTAGTAGTAGTAGTAGTAGTAGTAGTAGTAGTAGTAATAATAATAATAATAATAATAATAATAATAAAGTTGGAAGGGATCTTGCAGGTCAACTAGTCCAACCCCTGCTCAGGCAGGAAACCCTATACCATTTCAGACAAATGGCTGTCCAGTCTCTTCTTAAAAACTTCAAATATTGGAGCATTCACAACTTCTGGAGGCAGGTCGTTCCACTGATTAATTGTTCTAACTGTCAGGAAATTTCTCCTTAGTTCTAGATTGCTTCTCTCTTTGGTTAGTTTCCATCCGTTGCTTCTTGTCCTGCCTTCAGATGCTTTGGAGAATAGCATGACTCCCTCTTCTTTGTGGCAGCCCCTGAGATATTGGAAGACTGCTATCATGTCACCCCTCGTCCTTTTCTTCATTAGACTAGTCCAGGGGTAAGCAACTTTGGCTCTTTTATGACTCATGGACTTCAACTCCCAGAATTCCTGAGCCAGCATGGCTAGCTCAGGAATTCTGGGAGTTGAAGTCCACGAGTCATAAAAGAGCCAAGGTTGCCTACCAGCATGGCTAGCTCAGGAATTCTGGGAGTTGAAGTCCACGAGTCATAAAAGAGCCAAGGTTGCCTACCCCTGGACTAGACATACCCAATTCCAGCAACCATTCCTTATATGTTTTAGCCTCCAGTCCCCTGATCAACTTTGCATGAACATGACATTAAACATATCCATTGATGCAAATTCTGGATTAAGATCATACTTCATACTGAAACACAATAGGATTTGTTGATCATGTGACCCAGGACACAGCAATGGTCATAAGTATGAGTCAGTTGCCAAGCATCTGAATTTTGATCACGTGATCACAGGGATGCTACAAAAGCCATTAAGTGTGAAAAACGGTCATAAGTCCTCCTTTTTCCAGTGCCCTTGCAACTTTAAACCGTCAGTAAATGAACTATTGTAAGTTGAGGAATACCTGTATGATATCATAACTACAAAGGTGTTGCTTGGAGCAAGAAAATCTAGACCACGGGTAGGCCACTTGGCTCTTTTATGACTCCTGGACTTCAACTCCCAGAATTCCTGAGCCAGCATGGCTCAGCTTGGAAACCTCTCCCTTTCCCCTCAGCGTGGCTGGCTCAGGAATTCTGGGAGTTGAAGTCCACGAGTCATAAAAGAGCCAAGGTTGCCTACCCCGATCTAGATTCTTGAAGTTGATCCCCAGCCAAGGGGTGTCTTTGATACATATCCTCCCCCCTTTCCCAGCTGAGCTGGATGCAAGTTGTGAGATACCATTGTGGGAGGAGGTTTCCAAGTATTTCTAGCAGGACTACCAGATTCTGTAACAGCTTTGTTCCCTAGGCCATCCGTCTGGTGAACTTGCAAGATTCGTTTGTTTTTTTTGCCATGTATATTTATACATCTAACCTAGACTGTGTTGTTTCTCTGGGCCACATATGTGTGTATGTGGGTATATGCATGATTTATTTATTTTTGTTATATTCATGCAGTGTATATTGGAGGTGGTTACCCTTTGAGAGCTGTATACAATGAAATCTCATTTTAAAGTGTGCTGATTAGGGTACACATAAAGTGACAATGAAGTTGTTCTGTTCTGTTCTATTTTCCCATATCTATTCTATTCTATTCAATTCTATTCTAGTCTAGTCTATTCTAGTCTAGTCTAGTCTCCAATATCTATTCTATTCTATTCTCCAATATCTATTCTAGTCTAGTCTATTTTCCAATATCTATTCTATTCTATTCTATTCTCCAATATCTATTCTAGTATATTCTAGTCTAGACTAGTCTATTTTCCACTTTCTATTCTATTCTATTCTATTCTATTCTATTCTAGTCTAGTCTATTTTCCAATATCTATTCTATTCTATTCTATTCTATTCTATTCTATTCTATTCTATTCTATTCTATTCTATTCTATTCTATTCTATTCTATTCTCCAATATCTATTCTATTCTAGTCTGTTCTATTCTAGTCTAGTCTAGTCTATTTTCCAATATCTATTCTATTCTATTCTATTCTATTCTATTCTATTCTATTCTATTCTATTCTATTCTATTCTCCAATATCTATTCTATTCTAGTCTAGTCTATTTTCCAATATCTATTCTATTCTATTCTATTCTATTCTATTCTAGTCTAGTCTAGTCTAGTCTAGTCTAGTCTAGTGTAGTGTAGTCTAGTCTATTTTCCAATTTCTATTCTATTCTTAAAATTAGGATTAGGGGTTCATTTAACAACTGTCTTGCTTAGCAACAGAAATATTGAGCTCCTTTGTGGTCAAGGGGTACCTGCACGCAAAAGGCCACATTTCTTGTGGGATAAAGCTGGTTGATCCAAATTGTTTCCAAACTTTATCGTGCAACAAACGTTGCCTTTGCACGGTTTGCAATTCTCAACAGCAGAGAAGAGACGGCTCCGTCCACCGGGGCTGCCCACCCACCTGTAACATCCAGAGCCGCTGCCCCCCCGTGGGCGTGTCCTCTCCCCCCCTCCTCTCCGGCTCCCCCAATCAGCACCGGGGGCGTTGTCGGGGGAGGCGGAGCCCCGCCGCTCTTGGCCCGGGACCAGCCGAGCGGATGGAGGCGATGGCTGCTGCGCGCTGCTTGGCCGGCCTCCGCGGCGGGGCTGCTGCGGGCGGCTGGAGGCCGCTGCTGGCCCGCTGGCCCCGGGGCTACCACACCGAGCGCGGCGTCTACGGCTACAAGCCCAGCCGCCGGGCGGAGGAACCCGGCCGGGGCGCGGAGCGAGCGGAGACCTGCCAGCGAGCAGGTGGGGGGGCGTCCCGGAGAAGCGGGCTGGGGGTGGGTGGGCTGGCGGATGTGGGGCTCGCCTACAAGCACACGAGTGGTGAGGAAGGAAGGAAGGAAGGAAGGAAGGAAGGAGGAAGGAAGGAAGGAAGGAAGGAAGGAAGGAAGGAAGGAAGCAAGGAAGCAAGGAAGGAAGAAGATGAGGGAGGAAAGGAAAGAAGATGAAGGAAGGAAGTAAGGAGATGAGGAACGAAGGAGATGAGGAACGAAGGAAGGAGATGAAGGAAAGGAGATGAGGGAGGGAGGGAAGGAAGGAGATGAAGGAAGGAGATGAGGGAAGAAAGGGAGGAAG